CCCCTCCCCACCTCCCGCACCCGCCAAACTTGATGTGACCCCAGCCCGACGCGGCGGCTGCCCCTCTCACCTCCCCGCGCGCCCCCCACCGCCACCCCGCCCCGCACTCCCGGAGCGCACCGCTCACCGCGCCCCTTCCCACCTCCTCGCCGGGGCCGGGCGCCGCGCTCGCCCTCCGTGTTCCCTTCCCCTCGCCATCCCCACCTCGCCCCCCGCACCATGAGCAACCTGAAGCCGGACGGCGAGCACAGCACCAGCACGGGCACCGGCACGGGCTCGGGCTCCGGCGGCACTCTGGAGGAGGAGGTGGGTCTGCGGCCCCGGGACTTGTCGGGGTGAAGTGCACGCGGAGGTGGGCGGGGGAAAGGGTGCGCTGGGCCTCCCGCGCCGCGCGGGGTAGGTCTGGCAATCGCTCCGGGCGCCTTCCCGCCGCTGCCCTTCGGTCGGGGAGGAGCAGCCCGTGTCCGGCGGGCGGGGGCGCGCGGCCTGGACTGCCCCGCCGGGCGGGCATTGTCTCCCCGCCCTCCCGGGCTCGGGGCGGGCCGCGCGCCGGCCGCCGTCCGTGCGTCCCGTGGTGGGCGAGCGGCGCGGCGTCTGCCCCACGCTTGCTGCCCGCGCGTCCCTCGTTCTCCACTTTCGGCCCGGCCCGCTACCCTCTTCCGAGGCGCTCCTCGGGTATGGCCGGGACTCCTGCCTCCGCGGGAAGGAACTAAGCGGGATTAGCACCGCGGGCGGGCGGCATCCTCGCTCCCTTGCACTTTCCACCCTGACCCCTCCCCGTGACCTTGGAGGCCCGGGCCGGCTGCCCGGCACCTTGGTTCACTACAACTGCGCTGTAGTCACGGGGAGTGGACGGGTTTTCCTTGCAGCCCCAGAAGCTGGGCTTTGGCAGAGAGGTCAGCGGGCAGTAATTAGAGTTGAGAAAGAGATGCCTAAAGATACTCCTTTCCCGGTTCTCCTCCCTTCGGTTTTGCCCCGGCAGGCAATCCAGGACCCCAGAGCTGGCCTGGGTGGGATTCTGCAAGGAGAGGCGACATTATCTTGACCACCAGACATGTGCTAACGAGGAGGGCGTGTGAGGCGGCTTCGTGGAATCAGCAGGAGCTGGGTGGTTAATGGGATGGCAAAATCGGGGAGGGTGTGTGTGGGTGGGGGGCGGGTGAGGTGGTGGATATAAGCCTTAGGGCTCTGGGCGGCGAATGGAGACCAGGAGCTGGGCTGGACCAGACAAAAACTGGTGTGGAAGGGGACAGGCTTTGCAGGTCTCTCCCAGGGCCTCTGGCCTGCTGTGTCACTCCAGGGCTAAGAGACCCTTCCTGCCGCGCCCTGGCAAGCCCTTGCCCAGGAAACCAAGGGTCAGTTATCCACCCTGAGCTCCCTTCCCCTTGGTCTGGGGGAGAAACCGCAGAGCCCCTGGGGGTTGGGGGGGAGCTGGTGTTGCTACCTCCCTCCAATGCAGTGGCCGTGCTATAGGTTTGGTGCAGAATGGCGGCAGTGGCCCAGTGCTGGGCTGGGCTCCTCACTGTGGGAGGGGTGGTGGGAGGGTCACACCACCAGCTCCCACTCTTAGTAATTCAGAGGCCTGCTGCTAGTCCGAGTCCACCAATGGCATGGCATCTTGAGAATCTAGGTCTAGATCTCACTTTTTGTGGGGGAATATATAACTCTTTGCACTGAAGGATGGCAAGGGAGGGCCTGACATTTGTCCGCCAGTGTTGTGTGGGCTCCAGTGCAGGGTGGGGGTCAGTGGGGGGGCTCCTGAAGGTCTTGTCCTCCTTGGACCTTGACATGCCAACAGGCCTGTCCCACCGATGGGAACCTTAACCCCACCCTAACTCTACCTGGTTGTTCAGAATCTCCTCTGAGAGTTGGGGGAGGGTGGCAGGGTTGCTGGGGTGTGGGAAATCTCTGCTTGACCTGTGAGGCTGGGCAAAGACCCAGAAGGCCACTAATACTAGATGGTTGACTTCAGCAGGGAGTTCGCCCAAGAGGCTGGGCTGACCCTCAGACCTACCCCTTTGAAGTGTGAAGGGTGAACCTTGTGGCAAGCTAAATTCTTAGAGAAAGCATTTGAAGTATCGGTCACTTTTTTCTAAGCGCTTTTCTCTGAGAGAGCAGAATCCTCAAGAAGTGGAATCCCTGTGACCCCTCCTTGGGGAGCAGAGGTGGGTTATAACACCGTAGTGGTTCAGGGGGTCAGTGCACCTGGTGCTGATGTGGGGGCACAGGCCTGGGTTTAACAGAAGTCTAAAATTAAAGTTCTGGGAATCTCCTGGATCCCAGTGTCTGCTCTGGTCAAGTGCAAGGATGAGCCCCCTCCCCTCATTAGACTTCTGGGCCAAGAGCTCTTCTGCTGAGGTTCCTTCTTGAATTGGTGGCTTGAGCTGGAACTGAATTCCTTCCCTTTAGCTTAGATGCCCCCTGGGCAGTCATTTCTGCATCCCCCAGGAGCCACCATCCGGGGAATCTGTGTTAGCAGGGGTAGTTTACTGTCATGGCTGAGCCAGGCTGGCTCTCAGAGGTAAAGCAAGCCTAGAAAACCAAGGAATCCTACTTGCCCACCAGAAGACCTCAATTCTTAAAGGTGTTAGGTTGCTGGAGAAAGGGGTGTGTTGTCACGGTTCCAGAAGGATATGGTTCTGGAAGGGGGTATCCATGGGGCTGCTCCTTTGTATAGCCCTGACTTCCCCTGCTTGGCCGCTCTGTGCCTGGGGCCTTCATCCCTATCACAGGCGTTAGGTTCCTGTACTGGACCAGGGAGCAGGATTACAGGTGAAAGATCACAGACTAGAAGGTGAGAAGGAGGAGGGGATGGGATGTTAAATGCAACGGTAGGTCAAATAAGGGGGTATCAGCAAGTGATGCAGTGGGGCCCCTGAGAAGGTAGAGATCAGCCCTCCCTGAGATGCTGGGTAGGAGGTTATTAGGCCTGTGCCGGTCAGAAAGCATTCCAGGAAGAGTGAATAGCAAATGGGAAAGGGAGAGGTGGATTCTGGAGCCACATGGCTACCAGGAGTTTGCTAGGCTGCAGCAGTCCTGGGGGCCACATTACGAAGAGGCCGAGATCACACAGGGTTGGGGGGAAATTGGCATTTTTCTGCCACTTGGAAAGGAGATGTGTTAGAAGCTATGATACTGTTTGAAAGCTAACGAGGGCAGCCATGAATTAAGGAGGGTGTCTGCAGGGGAAGAGCTAAGTGTCCCTTTCAGTCTAGAGGCTATGTCTTAACCCAGGTGGGGTTGGTACCAGGAGCTCCAGAAGGTAAAGTGATACTGTAGCACAGGGCAGGCTTGCCTCTGATGCTGTGGAGCCCCAGACCCAAGCATGCCTTACCGATTTTTAGGGCTGGCTAGAGAGTTACAGTGTTTCTGGGGAGGGGTACATGTGGTTTGAAAACATTCTGTTTTTTAAAAGGAGACTTTAATTTCATAATACAAGGTAAAACTAAGTTACAGTAATTATTCACTGGGGGGGGGGTGCTGCGGCAGAGCTGAAGGGAAGGTAGTATTTGGAATCCTGAGTGGATGGAGTTCAGGTTTCTAAGAGTTAAAGAAGTTTTTCTCCAGCCTAATGGTAAACTATAGAAAGGCAGGCATTTAATGGCAGCCAGAGAAGCTACAGCTTGACCTGAGGGTCTTGACCCCTTGCTGCCTTCCCACCCCCATCTGTGCTTGTCCGTTGCATCCAGTATATCTGGGCCAACGTGGCTGCTTGCAGGCCTGGCACCGCTGGGTCCATCATGTGTCCTCTAGAGGTCTCTGAGGAACCAGCCAAGTCCCTGGCAGGATGGGCCAGGGTTAGCACTCTAGATGAAGGTGAAGGAATTCGGGGTTCCAGCGTGTAGCTTGGCCACTTCCCCTTTTCTCTGCCATCAAAAACCTTTGACAGAATCTGGGACATCTTGTTGCTTTCTATCTGTAAGTGGTTTTGTTTTTGTTTTTGTTTTTGTTTTATATGAAGGAGGGGAGGCATCTATTTTTCTGGGCACTTATCTGAAGACAAGGCCCAGGCAGGTAGATCCTGGCAGATTCTATAGGCTGGGCCCCCTTCCTCTCTCGGGGTTGTTGTGGATGTGACTTTTCTGCTCAAATAACCTAATCGAGAGGCTGTCCTAATAATAGTAAGCCCATGCCCAGTATTCATGCCAGGCATCATTCTAAGTATCTCACCATTTTATCTCCTTGGACTTTCACAACAGCACTGTGAATTGCTTACGTTATTGTCATCACCATATTATGAATGAGGAATCTGAGGTTAAATGACTTTCATGTAGGGGCACCTGGGTGGCTCAGTTGGTTGGGTGTCCAGCTCAGGTCATGATCCCAGGGTCGTGAGATCGAGCCCCACGTCAGCCTCCATGCTTGGCGTTCTCTCCTTCTCCCTCTGCCTTGACTCCCTCCCCCCGCCGCCCACTTGCTCGCACCTCTCTCTCTCTCTCTCTCTCAAATAAATAAACAAAATCTTGGAAAACTTTCATGTAGCTAGGAAGTAGATAAGATGGGGTTTGAACCCAGAGTTTGCCCTTAACCACACATTGTACCTGCTGTTCTGTTTTACATTAGGGTTTTTGGTGAGGGCTGGGGTGGTGGGGAGAAAAGGTCTTGCAACTCAAGTTTTTGAGGTCTGAGCTTTGGGTGGTGCTGCTCCAGGGTGGTTCCTGTTGGGCTGGGTTATCCGAAGACTGGGTGATGGGAGCTGGAAGCCCTTGTAGGAGGAGCATTTTATCACAGATATTGTTTGGGATAGCCATCACGGGGTGATAAAACCAGACCGAGTCAGTTTTTATTATTCAGTCTCTACAGGCAGTACATCCCCTTGTTGCCTGTACTGGGGCTTACTGCTTTCACCGCCCCACACCCCTACCCCCCACCCGCCATGGTACCCTGCTGCTTTGGGCATCTTAATTAAAGAAATGGTACCCACTGTAAAGTGACTGCCTGTCATTTTGTGTGTGGGGGGGGGTCATTCTGTTGGGTCTCACCTCCTCCTTCCCTGCACATGGGCAGCCTGGCTAGCTTATCCCAGTAGGAACGAACTTCTAAATCCCATTTAGCATTTGGACATTCTGATTTCTTCTCATTCCCGTCTCCAAAGAGAGGCTGGTGAGTACTCAAAGTGGAGTCAAGACATGAAGTGTGGGATGCCTTACTTTTTGCTCTCATGCTCTCCACCCGTTTATCCCGGTGGGCCTCCAGACAGTCCTGAGAGGGCAGAGTCCATCCTACCTACCCTGAGGGCTGGGCTCTTGGTCTGTGGCCCCCAGACTCTGCTGAGCTGTTGGTTTTGGATAGCAAGGACGTCTGGT